TATGTTTAAAATAGTGGAAAAGAAGGATTTTGGATTGGGTTTTATACAGGGTCTGAAGTCCATCTATATACACTCCAGAAAGCTTGAATCGTGGTGAATGGAGACTTTACAAAACCAATTGAAATCCAGGGAGGAACAAGACAGGGGTGTCCTTTATCCAGTGGTAGGATGCTGCCAGTGTAACAACCGGTTCGGTGATTGCGTGTGAATAGCTTTCCAAAAAAACTTACCTGCTATGTTACTACTGGGGAGTAACACTATTCTGACCAAGGCTTCCTGAGACTGTAATTAAGCTTTGTCCAGACAACTCTTGTTTTATTTCAACTCTGGGAATTATGTTCATTCCCAGCCTGTAATGAGTCCCAAACAGTCTCTTGAGATGAGCACCCACCTTTATCTCCTTTGAATTGCTGCCAACAACTAAAGTGCCAAATTAACTGTAAAACCAAACTGTAAAACCAACCGAAGTACAAAATCCACAGAGCTTCAAGGTTTAATCTGAACAGACCGAATGACTTTGCTTCCTGAAAAGGTTTCTCTACCTTTGCACTTCCTTTATACCTTAGGGGAGGGGCAATCACCTCCAAGCCTTACTCCCAAGTCGCCCCTTTTGTCTTAGCTGCTCTTGCTTTCTGGCAACTCTGCGCACACGTGCACCGGGAACAGGCTCCCCTTGTTCCTCTGCCTCGCTGCTGCCAGATTTTGGAGGCTCCAGTCAGCACCCCACTCCCAGATGGTCCTGGCCCCATGTCTGTATCGGACACAGGACCCTCATCCGAGTCCTCCCCAGACTCCTGGACTGGTCCCTGTTCTTCCCCACTGTCTGATTCTGCTGCTGTCCGCACAGGCTGCCGGCGAACCACAACAAACACAGCTGAGGAGTGGCAATCTGCTCTGCCACATGAATCAGCTCAGAGGATATAGGTAAGTACAGTGCAGGGGCAGGTGGGCAGGCCCACATGATTGTCAGAGAGAACCGGTTCACTGCCAGCTGATTGTCAGAGCTAGGAGCTCGTCCGAACTGGGAGAATCCCAATCCTGCCTTTATCCCCTTTATTATTTATTCTGGGACTGTTAAATAGAGATATTAGACAGGATAACAGAGCAAAAAGACTACAAATTAAAGCGCAAAATTACAAATTACCTACATTTGCCGACTATTTGGCATCGATTGTGCAAGACCTGTTAGAGAACTTTGAACATGTTATGAGAAAGATAAAAATGTTTGGAGAAACAGCAGGTTTAAGAAGAACTAAATCAAAGATGAGAATACTGACTAAGTACATAAAGATGGAAGATCAGAAGAAATTGGAATTTAAAAATAGTTTTAAAGCAGGGGTTTCCAACCTTTTGGACCTCAGGGAGCACCAAACTCATAATTTTAGATCCCAGGGACCACTAACCGGTTCTGTGGGCATGGCCTAATTTGTGGGTGTGACTTGGTGGTCATGTGACTGGCTGGGCATGGCTTGTATGTAAATATTATAAATATGTATATAAATATTGATTTTTTTATAAAAAAGAGCAACTTTTGCCCAGAATCAGGCAAAGCAGGCAGATTAAGTTGCTCACAGAATCACAGATTCATTCAGATATCTATCTATCTGCATTGGCTAGCTCAGTCTGTCACATAAAATTTGCTTGCAGGCAAACTCACAAAATTAACTCAAAACACACCATGTATGTAAATATTGATTTTTTTATTTTAAAAAAGAGCAACTTTTGCCCAAAATCAGGCAAAGCAGGCAGATTGAGTTGCTCACAGAATCATTCAGTGATCTATCTACCATCGGCTAGTTCAGACTCTCAAATTTGCTTGCCGTGAGTCTGCACTGAATTTGCTTGCAAGCAAACCTTCAGTCCTAAGGGAGGTTTGGCTCTACTTAAAAGAGGAGCTGAAAATCTAAAGACTAGCTAGAAAGCAAGAAATTCAACCATTTCCTGCTTCCTAGCTAATCTAAATCTCCCAGCACAGCAGAACAGCTGATGGTCAGAAAAAGGAAAAATAGCAATTTAGCAGGCAAGTTTACCGGGTAAGGAGTGAGTGGGCGGGGAGGGTTCCCACGGGCCATGTGGGTGGCGCAGCCTTGTGTTTCTGCGCAGCCTGGATTAATTGCTTTGGGGGGTGTTCTGGGGGTGAGATTTCTCTGTGGCTCACCAAAATTTTGTCACGGCCCACCAGTGGGCCACGGCCCACTGGTTGGTGACCGCTGTTTTAAAGTTGTAAAAAAGGCACAGTACTTGAAAGTGATTCTTACTGAGGAAAATTCTAAACTTTACAAAAATAATTATGGTAAAATACGGAAGGAGATAAAATTGGGTTTAAATAGATGGCAAAAATTAGATTTGTCATAAATGGGAAGAATTTCAGTAATTAAAATGAATGTACTACCTAGAATGCTATTTCTGTTTCAGACTATACCGATATTGATTACCGATTCTACTTTCAAACAGTGGCAGAAAGATATATCTAAATTTATTTGGCAAAATAAAAAAGCAAGAATTAAATATAAGGTGCTACAAGGTTCTAAAGATAGAGGAGGTCTGGGTTTGCCAGATCTTAGATCAGTGGTGGGATTCAGCCAGTTCTCCCCAGTTCACCAGGACCGATTGTTAATTGTATGAGCAGTTTGGAGAACTGGCTGAATTGCCTCGGCTTGGGCCCACCTCCTGGCCTCCCTTGCCTGGCCCCACCTCGCCCCTCCCCTCCTGAGGGTTTCCCCCAGTGAGAAAACAACCTGTCTCAAGATCCTGTGGACCACTTTGGTTCAGGCAGTGGCAGCCCAATTCCACGCTGGTTCCCTCTCTCCACAAAGTGAAGGAATCTCAGAAAGGCTGCCAAGCCCAGTGTCAGATGGTGCTCCATTCAAACTCCAAGAAAGACACTCTTAGACTCCATTGTTATAGAGAAAAGAAACTTTTACTGGAAATCAAGTGGTAGCATCAAAAGGATTCTAGATCTGAGGATTTACATGTGAAAAATACATATACAAAGTGATGGCAACGTTCCCACCCACCATAGTTCAAACGGTCCATCCAATCGAAGATGTGTATAATGTCATGTGGGGCATCTTCAGGTGGTGATGCAGACATCTGGCCATTGACCTAGTTTGATAAAGAGCTGCAGTTGCACAGTAAGCAAGCAAGTAGGCATAAACAATAAAGTTTTCCCCAAGTTATACAGTTCATTCTCTAAAACCTCCAGCACATTTCCCACCCCCACAAAGCCCAATTATTTCACTCTCCCCCTGTTACTATGGCAGCCAAAAGATTCAAGAGAAAGGAAAGGAGTGTTGAAGGCTGACACCTAGAATGGGGCTTCAGACAGAGAACTTTGGAATGGGGAGTGCCCAGAGAAGCAGAAGGACCAATGAGAATTTTCCCTTGTGCAGCGTCATCGGTCTCCAGGCAGTCTCCCTTGACTTCACCCAGTGCAGGAGAGTTCGCGCGCAGAGAGAGAAGCAGAGAAAGTGGGAGGGAGGGGGAATATTTTCAGTCTTGGGAGGCCGCTGCTCAAGGGGGGTTCATGCGAGCCCTGGAGGGGACTGTGGACTTCCTTCCCCCCCCTTCTTGGTCCTGTTCTCCCTCCTTTCCCTTAATGTTTGCCATCTGTTAAGCAATTTGACAGATCCCTAAACCTTCCATTCAATCTGTCCCATCCTTTTTCACCCCCACTTTAGAGAGAGTGATTGGTGATTGTTTTCATACCAACCTGTGATGCTTGGTGACAGGGAAGAGACATCAACTGTTCTCCTTAACTTCAGAAAGAATCTGGCTGCACAGTGCCTTTTCTGACTACAATTAAAAAAAAACAAGCTTTTCTGGTGAAGTGAGATACAGCTCACAAAAAGCTTCTGTCTTTTGATAAAAATTGTTAATTGGAAAAGGTGCTACCAAACTCCTCATTTTTGGACACTAGACTAACATGGCTTCCTCTGCTCCAATGTTTCCTTAATTTGATACGAAAATAGTTAGTAAAAATAGTGTTGGTCATCAGCTTCATTGCTATAGTGGAATAGATAGTCCCAAGACCAATAATTTGAAGTTGGTATAGTTTTCTGTTAGTTCAAGCAGTAGTGAATAGGAGTTTAATTCAGCCATAAGGAAGAACCCAATGTCTCTGCACCAAATAGTTGCATGATAACGCTTGAATTTGGGACAAACTATATAAAATATATCCCATCCTCATTTTGATACTGTTAAGTCTGCTATTCTCTATAACAGGAAACTTGGCAACTTTAAGATTTGTGAACTTCAACTCCCTATGCTGGCTGAGGAATTCTGGGAGTTGAAGTCCACAAGTCTTAAAGTTGCCAAGTTTGGAGACCTCTGCTCTATAACCTTAACAAAGACAATAAGATTTGTACTGTCCATGGTATGAGTCAAATATACAGAAATTTAAGTGAGGGCATCTGGGCACCAGGCTCTGAATTATATGCAGGCCCCTCCCCCATGCTGCCTGCTGTAAAGTAAGACATCCCCCGAAAATAATATCGCTTTTTTTATACTTAAAATGGTCAATAGGGCAGAGAACCAGTTGTTAAATTATTTGAATCCCACCACTGTCTTAGATTATATTGTGATGCTTCTTGTCTGGTATGGTTAAAAGATTGGATAACTTTAAAAAATTCAAGGCTGTTACACCTCGAAGGTTTTCATTTGAGATTTGTGTGGCATGCCTATCTGTGGTATGACAAAGTAAAAGTTATTGTATGTTTACTGCACTGGTGCTTGTTATTATCTGTAGTTGTTATTTAATCTGATGTTATTTTAAGGACCATTATTTCAATTAAAGCCAATAGGTCCCCCAAGGTGTGTTGGCATGCCCAGGCCAGGTGGTTTGGTCATCTGAGGAAAGAGATAGAAGGATCTGATTGCTAGCTGCCCCTTTGGGGATAGCGCTACACAAGCTTTTATTTTTCATATTATTTAAAAATCCTGTGAACCAGACACTTGAGAACAAATAAATACTAAAATGTAATGATTTTTATTGATTTCAGTGTTATGCAAGATAGAAGAGAACAAGCAAGACAAGACTTGAAAGGTTTAGAAGAGACTGTGGTAAGCTGTATATTCTGGAAAAAAACTTTGAAATTCTTGAACTACTTTACTGATGGAAGTCTTAATTATAATACTCTTTTGCTGTTAGGGCAAAGAACTTCAGACTCTGCATAATCTCAGGAAACTCTTTGTTCAAGATTTTGCCACAAGGGTTAAGAAGGTAACATGACACTCAGTTGTTTACTTTAAAATGAATTTAATATTTTGGATCTTTATTTTGCAAGAAACTGAGCTGCAATTGCTTCTCTTGTCAAAGAATACAGATATTGACTCAGATGATACTGGTGGGAGTGCTGCCCAGAAACAGAAGATTTCTTTTCTTGAGAACAATCTTGAACAGCTCACAAAAGTCCACAAACAGGTAAACTTAGTAATCTTTGGCTTTCAGGAATGTACAGCTTGGCTCCCACCAAGGCTAGACCCTCGTGCATTGTACATTCATTTTTGTGAGCTTGGAACCACTTATCCCCCTCAAATGCTTCCTTTAGGGTCTGTGCTATGCCTTCCCCAATTTGAGGTTTCATTCTCACCTGCACTCAGGTGGTGACTGGTGCTGCAAGCTGGCAGGACAGAATAACCAGTCTGACCATTTCCTGCTTAGCACTGTTGTATTGAGGCACCCTGGATAGTGCATTGGCTAAGAAAATCCCCCCCCCCGCCCCGGGAGGTAGCAAAGAGGAAAATTAAATTGATTAAAATACTGAGACCACCAAACTTGCTTGGGTGATCATCTCCAGGGTATTTTCAGGGCTTCTGAGCTTTTATGATCAGTCCACACCTCAAAAGGGGTCTTGCCCCCTTCCAGGAAATGCCTCCACATTAAGAATGCCCAACGCATCACATAAGCCTCCTTCTCCCAAACTGCCCATCGTTGCTCAGTGTCAGTTAATTTCATTGAGATGTATACACATGGTTGTAAGGCACCATGGCTGTTCCTTTGTAAAAGAACAGCTCCCACAGCCACATTGTTAGCTTCAGCCTGAAAAATAAATGGGTTGTTAGTGTCTGGGTGTTTCAGTACCAGTTTGGAAGCAAACAACCATTTGAGTTTTTCAAATGCTGCTTGGCATTCCATTATCCGCTTCAGTGGTTGGTTTGCTTTGGGTTTCCCCTCCCCTTTTGTCTTTAACAAGGTGGTTATGGGGAGGGCGGTCTGGGTGAATGATGGGATAAATTGGTGGTAAAAGTTTGTGAACCCCAAAAAGCTTTGCAGTTCCTTTCTGGTGTGAGGTGGAACCCACTCTGGTACTGCCCTATCTCAGGGTCTATCTCTATCCCCTCGTGAGAGATGCAATAGCCCAAGTAGTTTATTTTACTCTGGTGGAATTCACATTTCAAAAGTTTAGCATATAGTTGAGCAGTCCTAAGTTTCTTAAGGACTGCTCTAACCAGTTTCACATGCTCTGTCATAGTCTCAGTATAAACCAGTATGTCAGTACTCAATATAAATCATGTCAGCCAGACCAACATGCCTTTGTAAAGGTGCTCATGCAGCACCTCATTTATCAGCTGCATGAAGACAGCGGGGGGCCCTTGTACTCCGAAGGGGAGAACCCTGAATTGAAAACACCCTAAGGGGCAGTTAAAAGCTTTCTTCCATTCATCTCCCTCTTTGATTTGAACTCAGTAATAGGCTTCTCACAAGTCCAACTTAATAAAAATCTTCCCTTTGGCCAAATGGGCTAATATGTCTTTTATTAGGGGCAATGAGTAGACGTTTTACACACACACAGCATTTAGCTTTCTATAGTCTACACATAGATGCAGGGACCCATCCTTTTTCTCCCAGAAGAGTACCGGGGCAGCCACCCTGAGTAGGGGTGGCTGGATGAACCCCCACTTCAGATTTTTGTCTATAAAAGAACGTAGTTCCTCCAGTTCTCTAGGAGTCATCAGGTACAATTTGGGTTTGGGTACTTTAGCCCCTGGCATGATCTCTATGGAGCAGTCTGTTGGCCAGTGGGGTGGGAGTTAATCTGACCACTTCTCGCTAAACACATCCCACAAGTCTTGGTACTCCGATGGAATTCAGGGATCTCCCTTCTTCTGCTCTTGCATTGCAGCTCCCACCTCCTGCCTTGGCTTTGGGATCCCTAAGTCTTTTCCTGGTTTTCTTCGAGCCTCAGACCACCAGATTTTTAGCAGCCCCCTCCTCCAGTTCACATAGGGGTTCCATTTCTGTAGCCACACCAGTCCCAATACCAAAAGTCTCCATGCCCGGGGCCACAATTACAGATTCCGCTTAATGTCAGACCTGCCCCAGTCTGATCTTCTAGGGTAGTAAAACTCTCAACTCCATTTGATTGAAGTAAAAAGGTACTTTTACTAAGAGCTGCTGAATGCAGTAAAGTCAACTGGAATCTGAAATTCATGTGTGCCAATACAGAACTAAACCCTTGGTTCTCCTTAGTCCTCCCCCCATTGTCCATCCATTCATAGCCAATCTGGCACTGCCAAGATGTTTTGAGAAATGCTGAGGTGTTTGGGCTGGTGAAATTCCACAGTCAGGGTAAATGGCCTTGAAGATGCCAGCATGCCAACATGAACCAGATTCAAAAGCGCCCTATTCTTCCTCAGTTGTCAATTCCCCGCTCCCAATTTCCCATCATGAAGGTATACAACTTTATCATCCATTTATTTCCAACGCTCCTTCCCAATTGATGGCAGAACGCTGGCAAGCTGCCAAGCCAAAGCTGGTAGTTCTGACAGGTAATCTTATATATTTACTTTCATTATTGAAAAAATTCTATTAACAATGCTTTTATAAAAGTGTGATAGTTTTGTAGAAGTTTGTTCTTTATTTTTTAGGTTTTTTTGCTTCTTTGTTGCTAGTAGTTTTAATATTTTCAATCAATCACCAACAAGCAAGCAAGAAACTGAACCAGAAAGGGTAGTAAACCTCTCCAGCCACTCTGCTGCAGAGTGCAGTATTCTCCAGAAAGGACTAAAGTACAACATAGAAAATGCAAATGAACTTGAACTCTTCACAGACTTAGCAGCGGCACTGAAAACATCTGGAATAACAATATCAGGAAGAAGTATTACAGATAATTGTAATGTCAATTTGCAAAGCTTTCCTGACCTGCTCCTGACTTGCCATAGGCATGGGGATGGGAAATCGCACTTCGCAGCTGCACCGAGGAATTCACACCTCAGTCAAAAAAAACCACTAGCTGCCTGAAGTCAAGGCCATCTCCATGGAGACCCGCAACGGTCGGAGCGAGTGACTTCCATGACCCCCGAAATTGCTTCGTTGGGGAATGTGACTGGTGGCACACCTTGGGGGGAGGGGGCAACAAGGGCAACAGGGTCAGAGCTGGCTTCACGTAGTTCGTGCCAACATGGTGCTCCTAATAAACAACTAGATTTTTCTTGCTAAATGGCTTGAGGCTTCTGCCTTTATTAGGGCATTGGTCAGAAACCCTGACATGTACCTCTAAACAGATAAAAAGAGAAAAACATTGTAATAAAATGAAGCCAAAAGCACTGAACAGTGACAGCACCATTATAGTTCACCCAGTTGAAAAGGACATACCAGAATTGTCATGGAGAGAGAACACTACAGGTAGTCCTTCACTTACGACCATACTAGAGCCTGCCCATTATGGTTCTAAGTCATGTGGGTCAAAAATGGTTCACCCACATGACCATTTTATGACCTTTTTATGGCAGTCTTAAAGCAAACACTGGTTGTTAAGCAAACCCACTGTTATGGGCTGGTTTTGCTGAAAACTGAAAGTAAATGCTGGTTTTAGGGAAAATGCAGACACGTGACTGCGGGATGCTGCAAATGGCTGTAAATGCAGGCTGGTTTCCAAGAGCCTGAAATGTGGTCACATGAGCACAGTGGGAAGCCTGACTGTTGGAATTTTGGAACTGGGTCAGAAGTACCCCGCAGAGGACCATCGTAACATCAAACAGTTGCTAAGCAACCGAATGTAAGTTGAGGACTGCCTGTACTTAAAAATAAAATAACTACTTACAACCCAATAAACACTACCTCTCATCATTTATTTTTATTTATGAAAGGTAGGGGGCTTAGATTAAAACAAGTAAAGTTCTTCAAAATATCCTGTAAGAATTAAATGGAAAAATCAGTAACATTGTTTATTATTGATTCATTTATATTGGCTTTACTAGGATGTCTTGTGTGATAGAAATGCTTTACTGCATACTTATTAGAAATTGACAATCTGCAATATTTGTTACACAAATTCACACACATTACTCTGTATACATGTCCAGTTGGTACGTGATAATGCAGATCTTCGCTGTGAGCTTCCAAAACTGGAGAAAAGGCTTAGAGCTATAGCTGAAAGAGTTAAAGCTTTGGAATCAGCACTAAAAGAAGCAAAAGAGAATGCCTCCAGAGACCGCAAGCGATACCAACAAGAAGTAGACAGAATTAAAGAAGCAGTGAGATCAAAGAACATGATCAGAAAGGTACATTCAGCACAGATTGGTAAGTAGAGCAAATTATGTGCTTTGATACACACAGATTTTAAAGTAATGGAATATCACAAACATACATTATGTTAATCCCTTAATTTTCCCTAGGTTGTTGCTGGGGGGAATTTTGGAAGGTCCCCAAAATATTTTGTGTATAACAATAATTAAAGTACAGCAAGTGTTTTTACAGTACAAAGAAGTTGAATGGTCTGTGCTTGCAGTTAAAAAGCATGGCATAAAAGGAAAGGGAAATGGAAGAGGAGAGAAAAACACTAATTCTGTTAACAAAATCCAGTAAGTAATGTTGCTGGAATGAAACCCACAACAGAAAAGCTGGAAGCCTCTGGTACAGTAGAGGAAATGGGACTTGGCAGGTGGAATCGAATCCAACAGCATGGCAAATCTATGACTGCCTGAAAAATTAGATATTTGGCAGCTGCACCTCTTAGAATTCACATTTTCACAGCATGGTATGCAAACATTCTTTAATAATTATGGATTGATTCCAACATTGTAAAGAACAGAATCCCCCCCCCCCCAAAAAAAGTGTTTTGTACAACTAAATTAGGATATAACCCTCTGTAAATAATAAGTAAATCCCACTTCAGAAAAGAACCTGTCAGCTTTGGAAGCCATATTACAACCAGAAGCTTCCATGCTGCCACATTCCTGTGCCTGGGAAAAGGCGGGGGGAGTTTAGAGTGTTGGTAGTTAGTTGGTACTTCTTTTCGGTCAAGGTCATGTTATTCCTGCACCTGGAGGAGTGGTTGAAGGGATGTCTCAAGTTGGGACAGTTGGTGATTGAACCATGTGATGGACTGATGGGTGCAGGGGTTGGGTTTTGACTTTTGAATTACTAAGTGAAAACCCGGAACTCTCAGATTCAGGTTTTCCCAGATGTGCCAATATACCTACTCTAATAAAAGGAAACTTTGAGAAAATGCCTGTCTCAGAGTTTTTTATTGGAGTTGGGTTTTTCTGGAACCCTGACATTAACCCGAATCCCTAAATAGTTACCAACACCCCGAAAGGGAGCTGTCTGGGGTGCTGAGCCCCAGTATTGACCTAAAGTTCGGGTGGTGCAAAGACTCAGCGAAGATGGAGGAGAAAGAGGAGATCACAGAAGGAGCCATGGGAACAGATACCGGAGAACTTATCGAGACCTGGTATTCTCCTTCTGAAGACGTGGTGCGAGCCCTTGAAGCTGCAGAGGAGAGATGAAGGCTAGGCACTCGGCCCAAGGAAATAGATTCCTGGAAAAGTTGCCAGACTGATCCAACTCCAGAGATGGGACCGGAGGAAAGGCCTCCTGAACATCGTTCTGACTTCAGCCCAGTGAAGTCAGCCCACAAGTCAGAATGGAGAGATGAGGGAGCTTTGGGGTCCGACAACTCCTGAGACTGGAACCTGTTGTCTCCGTCTCAAAGCCAATCGTTGACAGGGCTCACGGAGCGTTTTGAGCTGTTGAGGTAATTCCCCGTTAGGAGAATGAGCACATACAGGGAGACGTATTTGAGAGTAGTGTTTGAATAATACACACACAGCACACAGATACACTGTACAGTAAATGTAGGTTTTTACTTCCAGAAACGTTAAGCAAAGTCCAAAATAAGCAATCCAAAGTCATTCACAGGTAAATCAGTCAGTTTTCAATCCAGGGATAATCCAATAACAAATTCCAGTGTCAAAAACAGTTCAGTATCAGACTTACATCAAATCCAGAATAGCAGTCAGTTAAGAGGAACGGCAATACTCTCTAACAGAAGGAAACAGACTCACTCACACTCTCTTCTGAGACTAAACAAACCAGGTTTCTGGCGCCATCTTATGGCCATTTGAGAAACCACACCTAATTACAGTTTTGTATTTTATTTTTTATTTTTTGTAAATTTTATTTGAGTTTTCACAAAAAAAATACAAATAAAACATCTTTTTTGAAAGTAGCATAATCCCGGGTTACATTTCTTCGTACAGACACAAATTCAATTTCATGCTCATTTTTATGTTCTATTCCATATCTTATTACTGTTTTACATTTTCTGCATAGCTTCTCCCCTCTTTTAATTTTCTCAATTTTATTTTAATTATCTCGTCTCAGTTCAAATCATTATATTTATATTTTTTGTCTGTCCTGTTTCAATTATCTATTATCTTTTCTCATTAAACAAAGTTTCTCCTGTAGTTACTGATTGGAGTATGACGCCTTTATATCTTTTAAGTTTATCCATTTAACTCTTATTTAGGCTTCAATATATACCCTAAAGTTATAACATTCAATATAATACATAACTTCCATTCGGATTCTGCTTGGTACATTCTTAAAATACACACTATATTCTTAAAAAAAGAAAAAAATATAAATATATGTAATGAAAACAACACATTCCATTCCAATTCAATTCTATCAATATTAATATTCATTAAAATCTTAACTTCTTTAACATTACTTTTCAATTAAATATCATACTTCTATGGGAACAATTATAAGCTTTCCATAATTAATTCCCCCCCTCTTCACTTATATTTTATAAAACATTAACTAATTAAAATGTTCCTGTCCCTTCCTAATTCAATTTTCTCATTTATTTTATTTCACTTATTTTATTAACAAACATTTCACTAAATTACACTAACTATTTTATCCCTCATTTTAATCAGACATTATTTCCAATTTTCTAAAGTTATTTCTATTGCTAATATAACAATACAATCTTATGTACCTTTACAGAATCCCTTTTTCAGTTAAATTTTCACCCATTATCTCTAAATAGGCACTGTTTCTCTATATCTTGTTTCTGTCCTTTGTAACTTCTTTTCCTTTCCTTCTTCCCTCTCTTCTTCTCTCTCCCCTTTTTACCCCCTTGTCTCTCTACCTCTATTTCTCTCTTCTGTATTCCCCTCTTCTGTTGCTTTCCAGTATTATACTTATTTTTCGAATTATTTTTCTTTTCTTTGGTTGTTTTTTTAAGTCTTAAATTCTCCATTCTCTTTCCCCCCTTTCCTTTTTCTTCCCCACATAGAATTACTTGTTCATTAAAGATGGCTTCTTCTTTGTCCCAGTCTTCTTGTTTTGCAGTCTTTTCTTGTTGTTTCTCATAGTTCCAAATCTCCATTTCTAAGAATTGAAAAACGAAGCCAAAAGAACCTCTCCCTTCTTGTGCATCTTCTTTGTACTTTTTAAGTTCCATTTTCAATTCATCCAGTAGTGCCATTGTATAAATTTTTAAACAACCACCCGATTAATTTTAGTCATTCAAATGCAATAACCAAGAATCCAAAGATCAAGTAATCCAAATACACGCAAGCTGTTTCTTTTTGCTCTTTTTTTCACTTTCTCTTCCTGGGGTTCTACTGTTTAGTTACAAAGTTTCAGTTAAAATGTATCTTTTAGAAATCTTGTTGAAGTTTTACTGTAGGTTCTTTTTAATTCCAGGCAGTCTCCTCCCTCTTTCCAGATCCTGCTCTTTTATTCTTTTTCTCTCCTGCTTATGAAAAAAAATTTTAGTGTCCATAAATCTTTATTATCCCTTTGACATTTTGTTTTATTTTCAGCTTAATTGCCTGTTGATGTCAAAGCGGATTTTTCCAAACGTTCACTTTTTCTGATCCGGGACCTGGCAGTGGAACGAGCATGGCGTCGGCATCTTTCCACTCAGCTGGAGATGACGGGAATTGGCTTGGCACAACAGGGTCAAGCAGCAGGGGGGAGCCAGCAGATGCAGCCGGCATTTGGAATGCTGCAACCTCCAATTGCGCACCACTCATCAACCTGCCTTTATGCTACCCCCTGCAGAATATATTCCCCCAGGCTGGGGATTCTATCCTGGTCATGGGTGGGTCCAATGCCAATGGATGCCAGCACCTTTTGCACCACCTTCTTCGGGACCACCATGGGGACAATTTACCTCAACAATCCCGGCGCAGCAATGGGGTCTGATCCAGCAGTCAGCTGCAGCCCCACTCCCCCTTTTGCAACTCGAGAACCAGCTCAGCAGCCAGCCCCTATCCAGCAGCCAGCAGCAGCACCACAGCAGATTCCAGCTCAGCCACCAGCTGTTGCCCCACCAGCTGTTGCCCCACCACCAGTTGCCCTGGCAATTCCACCAGTGAAGCCACCGCCACCAAGGTTTAGAGTGATGGGAAGCCTGCAAAACTGGCTTATTTCCTCAGCCGAGTCTGGACACATATAGATCAATATGGAGAACAATATGACACAGATCGTGATTTAGTTTCAGCAATTTCAGATGGGATGAATGAGACACTTCTGATTGGATAGCTCAGCTACACAATGAGGGGGGTGCTGAGCTAAATGATGCAGATGGGTTTGTTTAGCTGCTCCGGGCCAGATTTGAAGACCCCGACAGAGTCAGTGAAAATGAAGACACAATAAAAGTGATAAAGCAAAGTAATCAACCCATAAAAGACTTTGTATGGGACTTTAGACGAGTCACAAGAAATCTTGGACATTGGCCTGACAGAATACTTCTGCACTATTTTAAAGAAGCCATTGATCAAAAAGTCAGAAAAGCCTGTGGGGTCCGAGGGGTACCAGAGTGACTGCAAGACTGGTATACCATGTCCATAGCTCTGGATAGAGAAATTCACCCACATCGCAAACATTCATCAGAGACGCCCCTGAGGAGAACTTTGGCCAGACGTCCTCTGACTAAGCCTGCTGAGACCACTCCTACCCAACCTACAGGGGTTATCAAATGCTACTGTTGTAGTCAAGCTGGTCATCAGGCTTCTGAATGCCTGGCTCCTGCACCAGTTCCACAACCCCAACCATCTGCAGCGGCCAGAGGCAGAAGAGCTCCACGAAAGCCCCCAGATTCCAGTCGATTTGCCAGACAAGCCATAGAGGTTCCCCTCCCCACAGAAGAGAGCGAGAAACCTCCGGCTAGAGAAGGACCTCCTGGAAAAGCTAGCGAGGAAGAGGACCCGATGGTGAGTGCAGCTATCCCCCCTTTTATAATTAAAGTGAGGCTGATGGTACCCGAGACTGGGGAGCAA